TGTTTATCTCCCTGAGCCTGGCCTTCATAATTCCATTCCATCACAGTTTCTATAGGATTGTCGCCTTAAAAATATAAATATAAAAATATAAAAAAGTAACTTCTTTTGTGTATCTGACCATCTTGATTCTAATTCATGGAAGCTTACAGTCATTTTATTTCCTTGAAGATGATGCAGGAGTCAGCCCTGTTGAATAGTTTATAATTAATAATCATAGTCTTGTACTGTTGAAAAAAATAGATTTTGTGTAATTTAAAATAGATTTAATAATGGGGTAAAACAAAGCTAGAGACTAAACACTTGGTAGAGTAGGATTAATGTGAAAGAAGGAAGTTTTTATGGTAGAAAATCTCTAGTAGAACAGAACTAAAAATTAATGCACGTATAGTGTACAGTGTCATCCTATATGAGGTTTATACTTCCTGGGAAGTGATTATAGGAAATCAGCTTTGGGCTTGTAAATTAATTGTACAAGCTGAGAATTGTGAGTTCGATCATCAGAGTCTAGAGAACAAAAATGAGAGATTTTAGAAGTAAAAGCAAGATGGAAGAAAAGCTGTTTGCTCAGTTTAACAAATATATTTCAGTTCATGGAGGGATTAGTGTACAATTTACCATTCACCTGTTAGAAGGCGTGACTGCTAAATCTTTTAAAGTATTTAATATGCCAGGCATTGGGAACTTTATGCCTTGCCCATTGGCACCTGATCATGTTCACAGCCAGATCTGACTTGCTTCTTTTTCCTGATTTGGACATGCTGCACCATGGCCCCCCTAATATTGTATTCATTCACAAGAATGCCTTTGGAACTCAGAAAAGAATGTAGTATGTGGCAGCTTTGTATGAAATTGTGCTCACTTATGCAGAAACAAAATAAATACAAAGTGGGGTAGCAGAGTGCATTCTCAGGATAAAGGGGAATAAAGAAATACCACAACAGTTTGCTTTTTGATGTTGCCAGTGGCTATGTCACCATGGCAGCTGTTTAATGAAAGTGTCCATGACGTGTTCTCAAATGTAGCCACCAGCCGTGTCCCACCCTCCATTGTCTGATCCTGTTATTTATTTTTATATATATGTATGTGTGTGTATTCATATATTCATTGAGGTTAGAATGGCACTTGTAAGCGGACTGGTTGGCAATAGTTAACATTCTTAAGGGCTTTCCCCCCCCTATTCAACTAGATTTTATTTTGGTTTCCCCACTGTTACATAACTAATATCTATATCATGTGTATTGCTCTTAACATTATTATTTTACCTGTGATTATGCATGCCAATAAAACAATTCAAATGGAAAAACTTGCAAACTATTACAGGTCTGTGGTGATGTAAATAATTTGGCATCATAAAAGTGTTTTCTCCTTTGTTTCTGATGGGGGGTTATTGTGATATTAAGTTTTCTTTTTGTCTTGGTTTCTATTTGTTTTTATACACTGCCCAGATCTTTGGGGACTAAGGTAAATTATAAATACTGTTAAATAACCAAATAAATATACTATAATTTTATATAGGAATCGATTCTTTGAGAATTGACAGAAGTGGATTAAATTTATGGCACTATCATACTATACAGTGGATTAAATATATAGCTCTGAGGTACTAAACGTAGTACCATATATATATAGTGGAATCTGCATAGATGAACAAAAAGAAAAGTGCGTAGCATGGTTGTGAAGACAAAGAGACTCCTGAGTGTAAAAAAAAAACAAAAAACAAGAGAATGGGAAAAAATGGCTGAGTAGTGAATTTTTTTGTAACAGTTTATTTTCAGTTCAGCCAAAGTGCTACTATTTAGGAAAACTTGTGATTCCAGTTTTTATTAGTGTCAGTCTTCCTTATGGTAGTCCCCATACATCTTGATGAGATCATACTGAGAAAGGATGGTGTATCTATTCACACATAATGAGTATTGGAGGACACATGGGGCATATTTTACACAATAATATATTTTATAAATACTTACAAAAATTGACATGGGGACTACATACCAGAGTCAAAAGAAATCAACTGTAACAGGAATAGCCTTTTTATGAATATATGATTGTAAGGAAATAAAGCTAACAGACCTTTAAGAGCAACAAGTTGTCAGAAGAACAGAAAAAGGTTGCAGACTTTTTTCATCCTAAAAAAGTTCATTATTTTAGTATCTTTAAGGCTGCTCCTATTATTATGCTTCTTTAAATAGCACTTAGTAGTGCTGGATAAGAGGCATATGGCTGACTACAAGAAAGCATTTGATAGTAAAATACAAACTATGTTTAAAATCCACATTTTTCCTATCAGCCTCTTAAAGATTTGAATATAAGATTATCTCTTCAGTTTGAATGTGCTTTTTTCATCTTGGGAAAAGCTATGAAACTGCAGTGTGTGTGCAGTTAATTTAAATGGTCTCAAATGTCAATATTACTTATAGGCACAGAGGAATGGACAGTGGGTCATGTTCCAGGACATTCCATTTGGGAACAGAGATTTCTTTATGACTTCTATAGCACAAGTCCTTGGCACAGGCCACATATATGTTAGAAAATATGTTTAAGATTTGGCTTTTAGAAAGTATGTATTTGTCCAGATGGAGCACTTTCCTTCTTTTTATTACTAAGCAGCTTATCTTAATGTTGGTATCTACCTAGTCATATATTGTGACCAATGTATTATGCACCGCTCCTTAATTCTCTTCAATTTTTTTACTGACCTAATTGGAAGAAAAATAATGTACTCTGATCTTTCTGTGACATGCCAGCTCCATGAAACATGCCTTTCATTACAGCCTAAGTCTTAGTGGAAGAATGCTTAGTGACTTACCAGGATCCATTCTGTAGCCCCCTCCAAGAACCCCCGCCCCTTTGAGTAGATCCAGTTTTTTCCCCTTTTTTGCATATTTTGCAATGTTGTCTTAAGGAACCCATTTGCAGGAGCTTAAACCATTTATTTCTCTCTTGATGTCCCCCAAGATTCTTCTGGTCCTGCCCACTTCTAGATTGTAGCCGTTGACTTGCTGTGCATAGTCTAGTGAGATTATCATACAGACAGAAAGTGCATATTACTGCTGTTTTAAGGCCATTACCAGCTACATGGACCAGTTTTTTAAAAACAGTTAAAAACAAAACAGAGTTCCTTGTATTTTTATGAAAGATTGAGGTGCTATCTGATTTCCAATGTGCATGTAGCTAAATTCATCCAGTTTAATAAATGGTCCTACTAGAGATCCTGGCTTGCCATTCCCAAACAATTCAGGATTTGTCAACGACCCCAGAATATATGAATCAAGAACCAACTTTAGTGGATGAGTCTGGTTTAGAAGGAGCACAATAAGCCAGGAATTTCCATTCAAAAAAACAGATACAGTTCTTATTTTGTTCAGTATATTGAATCAGACCATCTATCTAATCTAGCATGAATGCCAGCCAATCTCCAAAATCTCAGGTAGAGATCTTTATCACACTGCCTCTGAGATACAACCTTTTCCTTCTGTACCTAGATCATATGAAAAAGTGCTTTAAAAGGTTGGGGTCAATATTTTAACTTGCAATCTGAAATTTTCCCCCCAGAAAAGGGATAAACAGTCAAATGAGAAAACTTGACCAGTTTTGTGTAGGCAAATTCTCAAAAATTGTTGTATATCATTAGAATAATGCAAGAATAGTTTTAATGTTCCCAGTAAGATTAGTTTTGTTTTGTTTTGTTTTGACCTTCAAAATTCTTCCTTATTTCCCAATTCTAGCAATTATTGTATACAGGTTACCATGGACTTGGAAATGCAGCAAAGTTTTGATGAAATTAATCCATGCGGGGTTAAATACTGTTGCTCTGACACTTGCAATTATTTCTCTGGTGGCTGTTTTTGATTTCCACAATGCTAAGAAGATTCCTAACATGTACAGTCTGCACAGCTGGATTGGATTGACTGCTGTAATTCTTTATGCTCTACAGGTTAGATGACATTTATAAACTGTACTTAAAAATAGAATAAGATTATTTTAACTTTACTAACAATGTGCTTTCATGGTTGAATGGGCTGTGTATAAATTGCTTTTAACTAGGGATTTTGTACTTTGCAGTTCTCATACATAAACCTTACAATCTGACAAGTTAACCCTTGTGTTCATTGTAAACAAAGTAACTTAAGAAGATATATTATCTTTAAGCAAACTGGCATTCTGTTACACAAATCTATTCAATTCAGGAACTAAATATTTTCTTAGTAAACATTTGGTATGACAGTTTTAAAAAAAACCCTGTAGTTTACCATATCTTGCAGATTGGAAAATAACAATGAAAGGTTAAGGCAGTTTAAGTCTTTAAAAGATGTGGGAAGAGTCAAATTATTTGCCAAATAACTAACCATAGTAAGAGGAAATGCTATTCTCTTAAGAGGTAGATTTAAAAACACAATACTGTACACATTGTTTTATTGATTCAATAGTATCTGAAAGCAGTCATTCTGCACTGGATAAACAATTTGTTTAATAAGGAACTTTTTGATTCTCCAGCTTTTACTAAATTTTTGAGAAAAAATGCTGCCCTTTCTATATTCAGAAACCTCTCTCACTTTACCACCTTTGAATGTAGAGTTTTTTTCATATAATTTTTACACAGAGCATCCTAGAAGTATGTTCAGGCTTCCTTGTTTTTAATGGTAGAGAAGGAAATAAATGTATATCAATTAATGTAAAATTCTACAGCTAAGTTGGGGAAGCTGTTGTCCTCTAGATGTTCCTAGAATTACAATTCCCAACAACTCCATGCTAATGGTGAGGTGTGCTAGGAGTTTAATTCAGCAGCATCTGGAGATCCACAACATCTTCTTTAAATCCACTTAAAGATGAAGATAGAAGACTGCAGGCTGAGGTTCCAAAAGGATGATTGTAGTCCTGAGCAGTTTGCCACAACAAGTAGCTAATTGCTTATTAGAGTACAGAGCACAGATTCTTAAAAGGTGGCAGTAGGTTTGGCATTGGTCGCCACTCCAAGATGTAGGAGTTGGCCTTGAATAAAAGCAAGGCATGAACAAATTCATGCCAGTATTCTTAGGGGGTTTCTGTTCTGATTCTGTTGCTCATAAGATACAAGATCTTGCCAGTCCGGATCCTAAAATAAATGTTGTTATCCACATAGGAAATGGAATTTATTTTTTGTTTTTCTATCCTGCTTGCCAGATGGCTTCTATGTGATGACGCCCATTGTGAATATGAAAATGTAGTCCTTTATTCAGTCACAGCAAGTCACTTGGTTCTGTGGATGTGTTCCTAATTTCTTAGTGTCAGGTTCCTTTCCAGTCTGAAAATTCACATTAGGAATAGGCCAAAAAAGATTGTGACTAAAATGGCTGTGCTCCCTAGCTAGAGTGACAATTTAAGATGGATAAAATTAGTGGGAAAATCTACTAACAAATAGATTTTAACTATTATTAATTTAATATCAGTTAAACATCATGTTAAGATAAATAAAATAAATATTAAGAAGATAGCCTCTGCCCTGTCTCTGTCTAGTTCAACCTATCCAATCTGCACCACAAATCTAGACAACTACAAAATGGCAGCAAACAGATCCAGGAAACTCAGCTGCCATTTCATGGTATTCCAGATTTTTGCAGCACAGATATAAGATGCAAAATTTGTTAAGATCTTAAGTCACAGCTTTTCCTCTGTTGTGGAAAAGGGTCCATAATGACATATCTATATTACAGCTATAAAGTCCACATGTATTATTCATTATCTCAATGAAATGTAGTTTCTATGAATGCTAAGCAATATTTTGCCAGCAAGTTGAAAACTCAAATCTTAATAACCATAAGCTTTATTGCTTCTTATAGATTTTATATTTTTCATACATTCACCATTTCTTCCAGATGTTTTCATAAAATGCTGACAAATTCTGTTTTATATCATTGATTTAAAGAAACTAATGATGATAAAAAGATTGTAAACAGGATCCTGTGGCTTATGTAGGCTTCAGATAATCTTTTAAATGTCAGCTTTAAAATATGACCATCACATGAGCAAAAATGATATATTGAATATAATATCTGTAAAATCCTTTTCAGTTCTATTGTACCATAACTAATAATGTGTGTTCAAAAACAGCACAGCCTGTTTGTCTACAAAAATATACATTTTATTCTAAATCTTAATTTTTTTTTCAGGTCTGTTATTGAATATTCAGGGATATTGTATTTTCTTTATTCTAAATAAAATACTCCTAGATAATCAATAACAGATCTGAAAAAAATCAAGATTTGAAAGGAAGCCACTAACATGCTCTAATGCTCTATTTTTTGAATGTTTATTATTGCTGTTGTTGTTCAATGCTGTGAGTTGCCCAGAGTGGGGCAGCATCTAAATCAAATCAAAGAATTTATTTATTTATTTATTTAAATTTTTTATGGCTGCCCACTCCAGTAGACTCTGGGAGGCTTACAAAATACAAAAACAGTAAAAACTGTTTAAAACATATAACAATGCTGGCAGCCCAGATTAAAACAAGTGGCTGGGCCAAAGGCGAAAGGACGTTCAGCTGTGGGTGTATCTGGAAGCGAAAAGAAGGTCTGATGCTGTAAAGAACAATATTGTACAGGAACCTGGAATGTAAGAAACTGAGCAAACTCAGGGAGGCAGTGAAGGACAGGAAGGCCTGGCACGATAAGGGGCCCCACAAATACATTACCCCAGACCTGAGACCAAAACCAGGCCTTAAGAGCTTTTCAGAACTCCAGGAGATAGTTTCCAGTTGTATTTTATTTAACTTACATGCTGCCCGATTTTATTATAAATCAGTTGAGAATATATCACAGGGACTCCTACTCTGATTTGCTCCTTTGCCCTTCTGACTATTTCTTGTTTCCTTCTGTAACTCATATATTGTCCTATACACCTGTCTGTTGCATTGCTTAATCTTTCACCTTCACTTATGTAACAGTCTCTCCTTCTGTCTGTATCTATGACTGTAGAATATGTAAATTCTACGGTTAAAATTTTGCATCAGCTGTCAATAAGCTTCCAGGTCTAGTTCGAAGTGTAATTCTTAATTGATTGATTCTTAATCCTTCAAGCTGTAACCAGCTGGGACCATTTATTTGAAAATCCACCTTCACCAATGAATTCTTTCTCTTGACTTATATATCCTTATAGACTCTTCTCAAGTACTTACTATTAAAACCGTAGTAGGCTGATGGACATAAGAGACAGGCATTCTTGGCAGTGGATCTAAAAATGTAGAACTCCTTTCCTACTGACTTTTCACTTGCCTCTCATCTCTGCACTTAGGCAAGCTTTAATAAACTACCTCTTCAGTGCTGCCTCTTACTGAAGTAAAAAGTACCTCCTTGGGGATGCATCCCTCTGCACCTTCTGGGTTTCCTGTTCTGCTTGACTTTAAATGTATAGGTTTGGGTTTTTTCCAAGAAAAATGAGAAGCTAGCATGGTTGGGTGGTTGCTTTGTCTGAAAGTGTACAACTTGCCTCGAAGGGAAAAGAAGGTAAGTGTGATGGAACACCCTGGGGAGCTAGAAGGGATGGTAGGAAACAAGCATTTCATGGGTGGCCACTTTGCTTGTGACAAGTATCAACTATTTGGTATGAGTGATAAAAACATACTCTTTAGTTTTGGAATATGCCATGGGCCCAAAAGATTTCAGTAGGTAATATAGGCAACTAATTTGATCTTCCTTATAAAGGTTTATCTTGGTGGTTGTTTATTTTTAAAGTAAAGTTTACCATTACTTTAGCTAAATATTGTCTGTATATCAGCTTGTTCTAGGCTTTATGGTCTTCCTACTTCCCTTCGCTTCCACTTCTCTTCGGGCAACTGTTATGCCAATACATGTTTATTCAGGTCTTCTCATCTTTGGAACAGTGATTGCCACGGCCCTAATGGGAATTACAGAAAAACTTATTTTTAGCTTGTAAGTATTTGTTTGAATGTTACTACTTGTTTTAAACAACGGTTATTAATTTAGTATTGTTAATTGTTGGTTTAATTTTGACTTGTTTTGCTCTGAAGGAAATCGCCTTCCTATAGCAGTTCCCCAGAAGAAGCTATTTTTGTCAATGTTCTCGGTGTCCTGATTTTTGCCTATGGTGCTGTAATTTTATGGATGGCTACAAGGTCCCATTGGAAGCGCCCACTGGAACAGGTTTTTCAAGCCCATCAACGAATTGCAGAAACACTCAGTGATGATGACTGTCATAGTCCAGATTTGGAGTTCAGCAGTGATGCAGCTGCTAGAAAACGAAATCCCAAATTTGATGAAGCTGGACAGAGATCAACTATGTAAAGAAAGTATATAAAAGTACTTTGCAGTGAAGAAAACTTCTTCTCCGTATTCTCCCCCAGCTCTTCAATGCACAATATATATATATATTTTATCTGCACTCAGTCGTTACCGACTCTGCGGTGACTGCTTTGGATGAGTCCTTTTTGCAGTTTTCAAGGCAAGGTGTTTCAGAAGTGGTTTGCCAGTGCCTCCTTCCTAGAGCAGAACCCAGCCGGCGCGTGCAGGAGGCGGGGTGTCCGTTGCCGCGCACCTTCTTCGGGCGAGGGGAGCTTCCGCGCTAACGGCCACTTGTCCCGCCTCCCTTTATCACAC